ATCGCACACCTTCCTGAAATGTATAACAGCTTCAACATATAAATTTTTGGTAAATGCATTTATGATAATATTCCAAGCAGCCATAATTTTCTCCACAATAATGCCCGACTTAACTAGTTTACCATCTTCAATCTCAATCTGACTCATCCCTACCGCTGGTTTTACCCGGTTTCTCACATATTTAGTAATGTGATACTTACAAAGTAATGCAGAAGAACTCGGAAACACCTTCTCAACAGAATTCATCAGTGTTGTATCGCGGTCGGTAATAATGACTTTTGGCATGCTTTCTTGGTCTTTTAACATTAAACGACAAACCTCTAAAGCCCAAACAAAATTGTCCTTTTTTTCGTACTCTAGAAATGCAAAACTAATAGAATATGTCATTTTAGTCGATGTAACACCAGTAATTTCCAACAATGGCAACTTGTACCTATTGGTCTTGTACGTCAAATCAATTATAAATACGGTAGGACATGTATCGAACAATTTAATGGAATCAATATGAGTCCAATATATATCTCTTACTGTAACTCTATCCTCACATCTCTGGTGCCTACAAACGTAGTTGTTATCATCTAAAAGCTTCAAGAGTTGTTGCATTTCGGTTCAATCCCCTCTAAGCGCCAATTTTGCTTGGTAGCGCTGATTGTAAACTTGCCTAATGTTTGAAATATAATTGGGTCTTTTGCGCTTTAACGTGCCAAGTATATTTTTTGGAGCGACCAAATTTAGTGTCATGTCTGACACACATTCCTTCTTTTCCGCCAAGAGGCGACATGCACTTGGATGACCGGCTAACTATGCACTTAAATAATGATTATGTAAACCACTTATGACATTGAACCTCCAATTATTATTTGACAACTGATATCCACGTAGCCTAAATGGACACTGGCATTTTCTTGAACCAGTATCATCTCATTTGAAATTCTTGATAGGTCACCTATATATTCCTCTTCTTTCACATGTCAATGTCACAAATACAGGTCGTCTATCCGAACCACTATCGGACCTTCCTATCACAACACCAAAGTCTTGTTTGGTGGCCTCCGTACGAATCCACTGCATCATGACATCGAGATTCATTTTTGTTCATTTATAAAATGCTTCCGCATATTGACCGCCTTGATAACAATAGGCGAAACAACAATAGGCAAAACACCTTGAGACACAATAGGAGAAACACCTTAGGAAAGAATAGGCGATACACATTGAGACACATTAGGCGAAACACCTTGAGACACAATAGCTTTAAGACAATATCAGGATGCACCATACCTAATATGTAAAAACAAATTAAACAAAGAAATATCCTAGACAAATAAGAAAATGAAGTTGCTGGAAAAAGCTGTTACAGGAACCGGAAGTACATTTCCGATTAAGTTCATCTACAACCCGGAAATATATATCTGATATTAACGTGATATTTTTTGCACAAAAAAAAAACATATTAATGTAGATTGAAAAGAGGAAGCTTTACCTTAAATTCAGTTTCATTTAGCTCCTTTTGATATAATGCACCAGAAGAATGTCGATTTTGAGTGAAAAATGGTATTGAGAATGTGAGGGTTTTTTAGAAAGTATTTTGGTCACCTTTTGAAATGACCAGGATCAATACCCCATAGACCTTGTTGTTTTAAGTTTTTGGTTTCTCAGCATAAACTGGAAATGTATATCCAATTTATAGGTGACAATTTTTTTTGTTTTTCCCGCACAAATTTTCCGAATATGTATCTTCGATTTTCACCCAGTGTTGCATTTTCGTTTCTTACATTTAACAAAGGTGTAACGAAATTTTGTCTGACATGATAAGTGTAGGGTGCGCTCCGAAAATGCATTTTCGAATGGTGTTTTTTATTTTACATAGGGTATTTTTACCCTATATAAGATACCATAAGAAATTCTCTTCGAATATTTTGTGGCTGCACTCAATGTTTGTGCCCTTTATTGGCTCATTCCACTCTTGCATCAATCTCTGTCAACCAGAAGCCAGAATTCAAGTTGAAGTTTCTCCTCCACTTTTTCTTCTCTTCTTGGATGCGTTAATCATTCAATCAAAGTTTCATTTCACCTTATCATATTACATAAGTATACATTTCAAATGTTACATGACTATAAATTTCAAATTGATAGTAAACTGTGAGTTGATTATTTACATACTAGTAATATATAACATTTAACTGTTAAATTGGTCAACTTTAACATTTATAGTATATTGTTAATCAGATTAACGGTGCACAAATTGAGATAAATGACTAAGTTATCAATAATATATATCAAAAGTATAATTAGTTAAGATAAAAACTGTTTTCCATGATTGTCTGCTGCTAATACTGCGATAACAACTTCAGCAACAGGAACATCTGGTTTATAGCATAGAGGTTTAAAAGGGAATAGCCATGCATGAAGGTTGGATTAAAGTTTGCAGTGTTTATAACAAGTACTGAAGAGGCATCCTACTAGCAGTGGGAATTTGTTTGACAGCACTGTGATAATTTTGCACATCTGGGTTTCAGCTTATACCTTTTACAGTAGGGTCAGCAGGTATAATTGAAAAGAATATGGATCATTCAACATCAGCAATTTACTGTACATTCAACTACAGACTCCTATATATTGTTCACAAAAACTACTTGGGGATTCATGATTTTTTTTCATGGTTTATTGTTTTTTCAATTGGTCTAGGCTAGCATTGTTGAAAGGCATACCCAACATAGTAAGCAATGGTTTCTGTTAAGACAGATCTATGTTCAGTTTTGAAATTTCCAAGTTTTGTATATCACAAATCTCATCCCAGTTGAATTGGAGTTGGTCTTGCCAAGTTGTAAAATGGAATACATGTTTCACAGCTATTTCAAAACAAAAACAGAGAGTTGATGCAAAAGTGAAAAGATACCTGATCTCCCTATCCTTCAACCCCAATACTACTGGTAGGGTGCCATATTGAATCTAAAGTTTTGATTTACCATTTAAGTGTTGTTTTGCAGACTCCAGTGCTGCTGCCTAACAATTAAGTTTGAATCTATTTTTGTTTATCCATGATAAATAGTTGGGTACCGGTACTTTTAATAGAAATTGATTTAAAATATTAATTTAATTTTAATTAATATAAATATAAAAAATGATATGGCATTGAATGTGAATGTTTAATAAGATGAGAGTACCAATACCCAACTAAATCAAAGGGTACCGAAGCATTCACCTTTTTGCATACCTTTAGAAATGGTTTAGCAGTTATCCTTTTAAAATGGTATCGAAGTGTTCACCTTTTTTCATACCTTTAGAAATTTCTTTTCTCCAAAATGAATGAAATTGGTGGATAAAAAGGTCATAAATCGCTTATTGCAAAGAAAAACTTAATTGGCCGCATGTATTAACATCTAAGGCTATATACATTCAAAGATATCACAAAACATAAGCATAAGGAGAAAAAAAATTACTGCAGTTATCTATTATCAAGCATATTCCAGCATCTTGCACTTATGAAGCTCAGATTGATAAGGGTTTAGGATTTAGGAGTACTCTCCTCAAGCTTCTTTTCTCCAAAATGAAAGAAATTGGTTGATAAAAAAGGCCCTAAATTGCTTATAGCAAAGAAAAACTTAATTGGCAGCATGTATTACATCTAAAGGCTATATACAATCAAAGATCATCACAAAACATAAACGTAGGAAAACAAAATATTACTGCAGTTATCTATTATCAAGCATATTCCAGCACTCTTGATTGTTCTTTCATATCTTTACGAAGCTCAGATTCTTGATGTGTGTCCACAATCATCTCTTCCTGTTTTACAAGCTTATAATATACCTTATGTTTTACAAGATACAAAAATGTGTCCATCTGAACCATTTCTCAATCTGAAAAATAATAGATTTGTATGATATACCTTATGTTACAAGCAACCAATAACATCATGGTTGGCCTTCACTGATTCTGTGTTCTCTTCGCATTAGATGCTCGTCAATAGTTGTACTGTTCCATGCTATAATTAAGGCTGTTCATGATATAGTTCGGTTAGAAAACTGAACTGAATCATATTAAAAGGTCATCCGAACTTAACTGAACCGTTTCAATTTGTGCAGAACCAAATTGAACCAAAATTATTGGTTTGATATAAAAGGTTCGAAATTCCAAAATGTACCAAACCATTAGAAGACATTTTTTTCTCAAACCAAACCGTTTGTTAAATAATCAAACCCCTTTAAATTTGTTTTTAGGTTTTTTTTTTGTTGGTATAAATTTTTATAATAGAGTACCATTTTACATTTTTTTTAATATACTATTTTACATGATTATTTAAAATAGACCAGACAATTATATTTTTCTTAATAAACTATTTAACTACCAGCAATAATTAAATAATTATGTTACAGAGTAATACATGTAGTCACAAAATGAAGCAAAGTAAAATATTCACAAGAAACAACACTTTATAACAGGTTGTATAAAATAAATTGGTAGTTACTGATTGAGATTTAATTCTTAATTTTGACATCATTTTGCTGGTTAATTTAACAATTAAATTTATTCAAGAACATCGTATCCAATCAATGATTCTAATAGAAACCATCCTATCCAATTCTAATAATTACCCACTAACTCATAATAATTTAATAACAGTTACGAAATTGAAGAGTCTAACAATACTCTCCTCTTAAAGATTCACCTTGCCCTCAAGGTGAAAGGAATACACAATAGAAAAAATATATCCTCCTGGATCCCGTAACTTAAAACATAAAGGTTGAGCTGTACATGAAATAAGAAATTTTCCCCCAGGATCAAATTTGCTTGCTAATGGCAGTCCTCTCGTAACCACTTGTTGTGGCCCCAGTCACACTGGTAGTGGAAATTTCTTGTTCCTAGACTTTATCTTAGGAAATCTCTTGTTAGACTTTGCATGTGATGAAATAGTCAACTCTCTGTCACTTCTCTGGACCTTTGCTTCACTAGCTGCCATCAACGAATCTGTATTTTTCACTCCGTCGCTCTCGCAATCAGGATTTGATATCTACTTTACAAACTTCTTTTTCACTATATACTTGGATTTGTGAGTCATCAACTTTACCACCAATCTTTTCTTCAGTTGGTTCTTGAATTTCACTGCTGCCTTGGATTTCCTGTGTTTTGATTTCACCAAGTATTCCACCAAGTATTTTGAGAATGGCCTTTACAAAATTCTACCAAGTATTTGGATGATTCTCCTTCCAAGAAATCCACCAATCAAGAGCATCTCCTCTCAATGCAAATGCAACAGTCCACTCAAGCTTCATCTCTTCACTCATTCTTCTTAACCCAAAATATTGCTCAGCCACCAATAAGCCTCCCTTCCATCAAATCTTGGAATCAAATCTGCAGCCATATTCATACCAAAATTTCCAGCACACCGACAAAATCTTTTTGGATCAGAACGGCTCTGATACCAGTTGATAGAAACCAACTAATATATAAAAGAAAATAGGGAAAATCCCTTTGATTTACAGAATAATACCGCAGAACTTCGAGGGTCTGCGCACCTCCCAATGCCAAAAATGGCCTCTTTTTCTATCCAATTCCAAGATGATCAACTCCCCCAATGTCTTCCTCTACTTATTCTAGGCCTAAATACTCTGAATTAATATTATAATAATTCTAATAATTACCCACTAACTCATAATAATTTAATAACAGTTACGAAATTGAAGAGTCTAACAAATTCATAAACACAGTAATCACAAAGCAAAAGAATCATTCAAGACAAAACCTACTAAAAATGTTTGGAGTAACTGAAGTGCAAATGCTAATACTGATACAGTAACAGTTCTGAACTAATACACTTCAGTTTTATATTTTAACAATAATGGTTCAGTTTTGGTTTATGTTTGGTTAGTTGCAATTCGGTTCACAGTTCAGTTATTTTAATTGCAGTTCAATTCGGTTCAATATTTCGGTTCAGTTCACAGTTTTTTTGAACAGCCCTAGCTATAACCAACTAACTATCATATATAGAATCCAAGTAAGGTCCACTATAACCAACTAACTATCATATATAAAATCCAATGTTGAAAGGATCTACACTTTTATTTTATTCCACAAATTTTCCTTTTTTCATATATGGAGTAGTTGATTATTCTTGCTCGCCCAATTATTAATACCTCCAATCAAGCTCATCACTCCTTGCATATATTGTTTTCCAAAAAAATTTCATATATTTCAGTTTCTATCATATACTCATTGCAAATAACTCATTGATCTGAACTAAAAATAAAAGCCATATATTATACTGTCAAATACCTGTTTTGAGGTATGGGGGAGAAATATTTGGATACTTCAGTGAGCACGATGATTTAAAAGCCACAGCCTGTGACTGACATTAGATAGTCCTCAAGAGAGCATATTTTTCTCTTCCAAAACAGGTTTTTATAGCTCAACATCACATGGTGAAATTATTATCTTTTCACTACTATTATTATCTTCTTTATGAATTATGATACATAAGTTCACATTATTTAAGAACAAATAGGCTCTGAATTTTAAATAAAATTGCAATAAGGTCAAAATAATAAAACCATGCAAAACAATATTGAAAAATAAAAAGCTCCACTAAATTCCAAAATTCAGAAATGGCAGAATAAGCATTCAGTAAACCACCAAATACAAAAGGCGCAGCATGTTATGTCATTTGAATTACTGAGAATGGATAAACAAATTCAGGAAGCATCAATAGTAGCCATGGAAGACAAAATGTGATGAATTTATAACCTTCTCAATTCCAAATAACTAGATCACAAATCAAAAATACTAAAATTGCACCAATAGCCATGGTAAAGTAGAACAGGAACCAGACATCAAAATGCCTAACCTAAATCCATACCAAAAAAAATACCAGCATTCAATCCCTCTGTCAATAACTCTTCAATGTCTTTCACTTGGTTATCACCCTCATTTAAAGGACATAGTCCATCTCAGATCATCATTGAGGTTTTTGTACAGCATTCAATTCAAATCCATTATATACAAGTCTGAAATCAGAAATGATAAAAAGAAAATATTAGATAACATTTTGAAACAATTAAGAAATCACATATTCATCTCTTAAACAACACGTAGAATAGAATTATAATTAGTATTAAAATTGACTAACCATTTCAATATCCCTTTGGACGAACGAGTGAGAGCATTTCTGCAAGAACCCTAGCAGTTTTTCATTCTTCCTCAAACCCTAATTAGGAATCAGTGAACGGGGAAGGACAATGACGAAAGAGATCATAAGGAGCCCACAAACTATCCAAAGGACAAGGCTTCTTCGCATCGATCCTAAGCCAGGGTTTCCCCTTCCCACTCCAATGCAGAAGACTCACCGGACCAGGATGCAGATCGCGGCAGAGTCCTTCAACATTATCACCACCGAGGCCGTGCTGGTTCCATCTATGCTCCACTCTCTCAACATTTCCGGCGAACACAAGAAGAAACGGCGGCAGAGATCCAAGCTCGTAGATCCGGCTCCGTTTCTGGATCCGCATCCAGTTCTCAAGCTTCTCCGTGTATCTTCCCTCACGCCATTTCCAAAGATCAATCACCATGACACCTGTGTTAAAGTAACAAGCACCACGTCCCTTAAACGACGACGCATAAGCCGGATTCGACCAGAACCGATGCGTGAAGTAGTTAGTGAAATTAGCGTGACAATACTCCGGCGCACCAAGAACGTGATCTCCTAAATCAATATTCCACAGTTTCGCCACGTCATCAACAACAATTAGGTCAGAATCGAAGTAAATTATTCTTTGAGCGGTCGCTGGAACCAGATCGGCGAGGTACATCCTGGCGTAATTGAGCGGCTGATCGAGCGCGCGGCGAATCGAGTACGAGATCTTTCCTCTCACGAGATTTGAATCGAAGTGATAGATGTGGAAGTTCAGATACGGGAACGTTGAAATGATGATGCGACGGAGCTCTTGCCGGCGGCGGTGCGTGGTTGTAACGAAATGGAAAACTACATTCTCTGGACACGAAGCGTGTTGCAGGACAGAGAAAACACCGGCGATGGAGCCGCGGAGGTATGTAGCGTCCAGAGTCATGGCAATGTGTATGACGGATGATGTTTGACGCGGCGGACATTCCCTACCGTTTCGGAATGCTGGCGCTTCACGGAACGACTGGACTTGGTCGGAACATAACGTCGGCGGGAAACAAACCGCGGCGGAGAAGAAGAAGAAAAACGCGAGGGCGCGTGTAACTCGTGTCGGTTGCATCGTGTTGTTTTAGTGAAGTGAAAAAAAAGGGAATGAAGAGGATAAGTGTTATTGTGAAGTGTAAGGGTGGGTTTTGGTATTTGGTATTTGGCATTTATTGAGATTGGAATAAACAGCATGGTGGTTGGTAAGTATAAGAACTAAGAAAAGCCAGGCTGGAAAGAATAAAGACGTGTTTATCCTTTTAGAATTTAGTATATTTACTTAACTTCGTAAAGCGCGCTTTGTTATCGTTACTTGAAGTTGGTTGAGGTTTTGTTTTTGTATGGTCCGTGAGTGATGCGGTGAGATTAAGTTTGATGAAATGAAGGGCTGTTATTTGACGGTTGGATTGAGATTGCGATGGAAGATATGAAGAGTGTCCGGTGGGATTTGTCTGCGCCTGATTGCCGCGATTCACGTGTGAATCTTTCCTTCGTGACAAAATTGTGGACAATAAATCATGGATTGATGTTTGTCTTGTGATCACAGTGCGAGGTCAATTGTTTATTAGCACCGTTTAATTTAGTCATGATTCAGGTCCCCATTTTGTTTATTTTTTAATAAGAGAATTTATTAATTAATTATTATTACATAAGAAATATCATATTTATTGTTGTGTTGTGTTCTTTTTTTTTTTTGGAAAAGTCAAATTGCATTTTAATAAAAGGGCAAAAGTTGAGCTACAATATATATGGTGTCAAATAGAATACAAGCAAAAGTGCACACTCCAATTTAAATCTAATATAAATATATAAATTTTAATATAATTGAAAAAGCCAGATCTACTCTTCTGAAATTATATTCATATTTTTCTAATTTTAGGATTAATAATATCTTATTCCAAGTTTGCTTCACTTATATTGATTTGATATTTATTGTTGTTGATGTGTCATCATTTTATTTTTTTATACTGATTTTTAGTTTGTTTTATTATTTTATTAACCTCTAATTAATCTTCAATTGTCTATTAAACTTCAGCAAAAAAAAACCATGGAAAAAGACATTCAAAAGCAAAATCAAATACTTGGAGAATGAACAGTCAAACAACTTTCCATGGTCAGCAATTATTGTCAAAATGCATTAAAATTAAAACATAAAGATACCATAAGAAAATCATTTCAAGTCCAACTCGCACAGACAAATTCCCTTCACCATTATTGCAATGACTAAGAACCAATGCATCAAGTAGAAGCAGAAAATCAAAATCAAGCCCCATGTTCGTTCTCTGGAAGAAAAACAATAACAACACCATTGAAACAACTCAAGAACCTTCTTCCCCTGAACGCTTTACTATTTATCCAATGCAGATCTGCTTCGTACAAATATACTTCTCTTGCAAGTAGGTTTTGGAGTTCGCCTTTGAGGAACGAAGAAACGGAGTCTATTCCAATAACGAGAAATCAAGTTCGCAATCACTGAAGTTAGTCACAATTGCATCGTTTAGAGGAGTTTTATCCTGCAGAGGAGTAATTGATGTTGGGCTTGAAGTTGTTGGAAAGGGTTGCCCTAATCTGAAAAGTGCACACCTTCATAAGTGTGAGATTCTCTCAGACAGCAGATTATTTTCATTCACTAAAGTTGATATATCACTTGAAAATAAACTGACTATTATATACATGTATTGCCTCATTTGAAGTGTATTATACAACTAAGTCGAATGAGTCTGATTTTCTGCCAAATCTTAGATATATCAATTGCTTAACAATATTGATAAATGTGTGTTATGGATTTCTTATGTTTACTTAGTTATTTATAGGAAACTTCCTGGTGTTGTTGTTCAGAAGTTTGAATGTGAGAAAGATCTTCTGGACATTTAATGGCTTTTTGTTAGTTTATCAGACAATGAAAAAGAGAGGGATGTTAAACTTCTGGAAACAAAAATGGAATATATAAACTCATGTGCCTTCACAAAGAATAGTGAAGTTAATCTCAAGTATGCCCACCATTTTTCTATATAAGTTATAAGTTATTTCGGAGAGCTCATGGAAATGTCTTATGAACATATCATAAGCTTTCTCAAATAGATTCACAAATCGTTATTGTTGTACCCCAAAATTTGCCCTCTCATT